GGGGGGGGGGGGAAGCGCAGTTAGAAAAGCAAGACTTTCCCTTTAAAACTGAACAGAAGCCGATAGCACATCACATGACCTTTTACCGTAATTTCTATTAAAATCATTTCATGTCTGGTTGCCTCTGCTCGCCTGGCTCATTTGTATTGTTTACAACAAGTCGCTGCACTGGCGGTTGGTGGTGGCTGGATCCATGGTTACCCGCTTTCACATTCACTAGTTAAATGGAATGCAGCTCCGCTCCGGGTTTCAGGGAGCAAGCTCTTAGGAAACCACAACCCGGCTATCAATCAGGCCAATCGGAGAGAAATTAATCTCACACACGCAAGTATCGGTGCGTATTAAAAATTGATAGGCAGGGGGCCCGGACTTCTCTGGGTTGGAGTTACAAAAGTGGACGAGCTGAGGCTGGACTTGGAGCCTCGGGATATTCAGTCCGTGGTCTATGTCTGACAGCCATTCGCGCTGTGCATCTGAAAGGGCTTCCGAGGGTGATGCGACCACCCTTGAAAACGCCCCCCCCCCACACACACACACCACAATTTTGTGAGCACTTATTGCCCCGGAGTGTCCTGAGGATGGAAAGAGTGCCTACACACAGGTTTAACCAGACTGCAATCCCAGCAAGTAACTTAAGGACATTCACGCAAGACAGTAAAACACCCAAGCAGAGAGCACGGGGTAGGTAGGGATCAATTAAGACAGAAATCTCCGTGGAGCTGAATTTCCTCCATATGAGTAAATTAAAACTGCAAACTAATATGTTTGACTCAGAGCAGCCACAGTACAAATTCATTCTCCTGCCCATGCATGTATGTGGTTAATTCTTTACAAACAGAGCGAACTTGTTTCTCGAGATGGACATGACCCACAATTATCATCCCTAATAAACAAGTAGGAGTTTTACAGCTTAACGCCCACCCTAATCGCCCCCCAAATCACTGGATGGAAATGCCAAGTGAGAGCAGCAAATAGTTAAAGCGAACATACTCCAACCCCATCTACTGCAAAGTCACTGTATCAGAAGCTACAGCTGATTTGTCTCCTCAGAACGAATTGAAAATGAATGTAACCTAACGTCGTCGGAAAAAAAAACACACACACCCCTCCTGCCCCGCTAATCGGATACCGTATAAAGGTTGACTGCAGCTCAGCCCAGCACTGTCGCCTGAATCGTACATACTCACGCGTTCTGGGTTCTTCCAAGAGTTTGGTGCAGTTTCAAGGACAAATGTCTTAAGGGAGCCTCTCCACCGTGCAGCAAGGAGCCTAGCTCGGATCTGATGACAGGGGCATGGTGCTCGATCTGACAGCCGCGGAGGGAACTTCCTGCGTGCAGAGGAGGTCCTGGAGAGTCTCGGGGTTAAAGAGGCTGCTGGAAATGTGCTGGCTGGTCTGTTCCCGGGTTGTGTATACACAGGAGCAGCTGATCCGGGTTTGCAGCCCTGCAGAAAGGAACCTTCACTGAAAACCAATGGCATCACATTTCAGCGGGGCCGGTGCCAAGTGCTGGAGAGCAGAGCAACCTTTGACAACTCCACACAATCTGCCCGCCCGGGCCGACCTGACCACCGGTCAGCGGGGCGGGGGGAGAGCGCGGCCCCCACCAGGCTGCACCTCCAGCGTGTTAGCGGGCTCCCTGGGAGACCAAACGCAGCTACCCACCGGCCTCTGACGACGCTGTACTTATTCCCTGGACTTATATATATATATTTTTTTATTAATCTTTACTCGAGGATATTTTTTCCACTGATTTCCAGAGAGAGTGGAAGGGTGGGGGAGAGAGGGAGGGAGAAAGAGAGAGAGAGAGAAACATTGATGTGAGAGAGACACGTCGACTGGGTGCCTCCCAACTGGGGCCAGGGATCGAGCCTGCAACCCAGGTACATGTCCTTGAACGGAAACCAAACCCGCGACCCTTTAGTCCCCAGGTCGACGTTCTAACCACCGAGCCACGCAGGCCAGGGCCGGACTTATCTTAAATATACTGTCTCTGCCATCCTGACCTCCCACAGGCTATATTTTCACAGGATTTAAGAGCTGAGTCCCAATTTCTAACATGTATTTCCCTCTGTTTCTTACATAAACCCTCAAGTCCACAGTGCATTACTAATCCTGCACTGTCCCTCTGACGTCCCTCACAAATGAGTTGGGGGGGAAATAACTTAGGGTTGGGGAGTGTGGTACCCAGTTCTGTATGCTGCTTCCAAATTTAGAGGCTGGGGTTTTAACAGGACCGTTTGGTTGGGGGTCATTTCTTACTGTTCATGATGAACTTCACCCTAGTAGAACCTGGTAGGATCGCGACGCTCTGGGGACATTCGGAGCAGGGATGCAACACAGACCATTCATTGGGTGGGGGAATCACCCTCTCTACCCCCCTTATGACTGAGAGGGGAAGTTAAGAGAGGGTAAGAGGCACAGGGGTGGGGGCTGCCGGTTGCTGTAACAAATCTGGCCCAGGCCCCTGCTTGGCCACGTCACTATCTGTGTTCCTCCCTGACCTTCCTCTCCCTTCCGTCCCAATGACAAGTCCAGGTTATGGTATATTATACGGTATTTTCTCACTATTGCGCATTTTACTTCAAAGGGCAGAAATCAGAACTGACAGTTTAACAAAAGGCCACGTTCAGCGGGTCAGGCATCCTGGGGCCGCGGCTCCCACTCCTCCGGCTGGGGACTCATCCCGGGGAGGCCCTGGCTCTCACGTGGACCTGACTATTGTTCGGAAGTAATCATAATCCCCGGACATCGGAGGGTCCACGGAGCGTGATGAAAAGCCTGGGCTCCGGTGCCAGGTAGGCTTGGCTTCCTATCCTGGCCCTCCCGCCGTCTACCTGCCTGAGGTTGGGAGTTGCTCCCTAAGCTGCTGTTTTCTCATCTATGACACAGAGACAATACAGCGACCGCGCGAGATTACTGTGAATGTTTAAGGAGCCGCATACGTCAGGGGATGGCCACAGTGCCTGGCATCCGTGCGTTTACAAACATTTACTGAGCCTCCTCTTGGAATCGGGCACAGTGCCAGACATGGGGGGGGCAAAGTCATCTGAGACTGGCCCCTGCTCTCGAGCGCACTGCCACGTGTCGGTCCTTCCTTTTTGCCTCCTAGAACTCATGTAGTCTCCATCATAAAGCACGAAAACCTTTCAAATACTTTGTCTCCTCTCATTCAAATACTTAACACATGGCCAGTCTTAGAGAGACTCCAAGCCGATTCTTGGATCTGCCATTTGAAGATATATTGCCTCTACACACAGCCCAAATGTCTCAAATAACTGTTGACCTACTGCTTCATTTTATGCTTTGCAACGTAGTCCATTTCTGATGGGAGAATTGGCTAGATATTTATCAGTGAATCATACATAAAAACAACAAAATATATTCTTGAAAGAGATCTGTATAGAATCTAGAACTTGGAGTTTGACTCATGTATTACATTAATGAGTTCTGTTATATCCTGGAAATCTTTTTTTAAATGGAATTTATATCATTAATTATAAGGATTTACTGCCAAATGATGATTCCTCCGGCCTTAACGAAAATCCAGGAAATTAAGATTAATGTCAATGCCAAGGCAGGAGCACTAGTGACAGGCGACGTTTGAGACAAAGAAAAGTATTATTCAGTGTTTTTGTTTTCAGTCGTTCGTTTGTTTATTTAGACAAGCCTTGGCCATCTGTAGAGGAAACTAAGCATGCTCCTCACAGATTGGCAACAGATAGGTTAGAATTATCAAGCTTGCCACACTTAAGTGCCCAGCTGCATACTATTTCCTGCTTCCTCCCTGACCAAAGTAACGTGTAAAGTATCGACCACGGTTCTTGGGCCACAGGGGACAGGAGACGTGCCCATCAAAGACCACTCTGGAGGGAAGCAGATCAGCCTAAGACCTGGTCAGGCCTGGTCAGCACGGAGAGCTGGTCGACCCAATGACGTTTCCTCGCCGCCTTAAACTACAGGGGTGGGCAAAAGTAGGTTTATAGTTGTTTGCATGGGGGGGGGCGGCGGGGAAACACATGATACAATTAATTAATAAGTACTAATGCAAGAATAAACTACGTCATTTCACAATGACAAACCTACTTTTGCCCCACCCCTATAAATACAGTTTTCAAGCACTTTTATACCCACGGGTCTCGCTCAACTCCCACAACTATCCTGGAAGCAGATGCTTTTATTATTTATATTTTTACAGATAAGCCCAATTCAGAGAATTTAATAATTTTACAGATTCACCCCGGGCAATCAGGGGCCCCAGCACAAATTTCAAAATGGATGCTCTACCTTCAATCCCAAAGCTTTTTCCACGTAACATACGTGGCACGTGCATACATTCAATTTTCTCATCTGAGAAAGATCAGTTAAATGCAGACCAGGCCTCCACACACACACACGCACACACGTGCCTCCACCTTCTATCTTCACCCATCTCTTCTGCTCTCGCATCCTGGACCATTACTTCAGAGAATAAATTTTCCTCTCCGCTCTCCCTCACTCCCCCGCCTCTCGATGCATTTGGGTGTCAGGAAACAAATCTCATCTTAGGAGGAGTGCTCATGTTACATTATTCCCAGCGAGGGGAAAAGCCATATGCTTTGCAACCAGCCTCGAAAAATCCTGGAAGTTTCTTAAAATCCCTCTCAGAGACGCTGCAATAGTTCTCACCCATCTTCTGAACTTCCAGTTAATTACATGCACGTTCTCTTAAACATCAAACCCTCCCGTGTCTGCGTAAGTGACAAACTGACACTCAGTTCTATGGCCTTTTTGTCATGTTTGTCACTTGTATCATAACAGAACTGTTTTTTCACATTTGCCTCACCACCGATATGCAGTATTCCACCCAAATAAATAACGTAGGTGTGTATGGCCTAATCGAGCAATCAGCATTCAAGATCGCCTTCTGAGGGGAAAAAGTATGTTTTAAATATCTAATAATGGATCTGCATGTGAAAAATTTTAATGCAAACTTGAAATTTCATAAAGCTTTCATTTCCAGCCACTAAACCTGAGCTCAATTACTACTCCACATACTAATGTTTCTGGCCATGGCATAAGGCCATACTTCAGTCAATAATATGTTTACAGAATAGAAATAAACAGGAATATAACTCATTGGTTCATTCATTATGAATCAATTATTTAATTCAGGGGCGAAGGAAGTTGGAGACCATCAAGGCAGACCCCTCCCTTTTAGAAATGAGGAGACCAAGCTTCGCTGCTCAGACAGTAACGAGATCAGACTATCAGCTCCGCTTCGGACCATTCTGACTTGTCCTTAGCCGAAGATCGATGCTCAGCGGTATATGCATTAGCTAAAAAGAGCAGATTTCTAACTCTGAAGGTGATGGATCTAAAGGATCATCAGGTATTATGCCCCATTTCTGCAACCTTTGGAAATAAATGTTCATACTAAATAGAGAATGAATTTCTGATAACTGAATTAAACGGTTCCTCTAAATAGCCAACTTTGGATTTCTTTCCACACATAATAACTTGGAAAAATATATAGCCTGTGTTTACTGTGGCACTATAGCCACAGTCTCTAAGAAGAGCTATAACTCGCTAACAATTTTCCTGATTTATGTTTGAAAACATACAGGGCATGAAATGATTTCTGCAACCTTACATTTTCCTCAAGAGCACTGGTAGGCAGGAGATATATTCCAAAAGTCATGTTGGATTGCTTGTTACAGCTCCTTTTATTAATAGAAATGTGTGATAGGCAATTATACATGATCCACACACAGAAAAAAATATCATTGGATGATGCCCCATTAAAAGAAGTAACAATATCAAAGAAAGGAAAGGAAAGAGGAAGAGAGGAAGGAAACTCTAATAAAAGAATCTCTTTTCATAAGATGTTTACAATGTAAAAATGGATTGCCTTCTTGAGTAAGAATGTGCAATAAAGATTCTTCTAAAGAACAGTTTATGGGTAATGTATGGTTATAAACTGTAACACACTCTACAAATGTTATTCTTGCTCTTCGTATGTAACATATGTGGAAATTTGCTTCACAAATCTATCATTGTGCTAATAAAAATAGGTATTCGTGAATATGAATTATATTGGTCATAAAATTAGCCTTATTAACCTAATATATCTTAGAGTAAGATCGGATTTAAATGGGCCACCGTGATAACACAGATATCTGGAAACTGTTTATCCTACCGCGCAAGTATCTTTCAGAGCAGGAATACAAAAGTTTCGCCCTGTTTCATGCAAAGTTAACCCCCTGAAATTGAATCTTCAAGACAGTAAACAGTACCATGTCAGATGCGCATATTTGCCAAGTTAAAAAAAAAAAATTCTTTTGTAAAGGGAAGTAAAATAAGCACATTCATTAATTAGTAT